CAAGCTTGGTTTTATTTTGTTAAAAATTAAAGCTTTAATTTTGTTAAAAATTAAAGTTTTGGTAGGAGAATTATTGTCTGACACACTCCTGAATTATTAAACTTAAATTTAGATTTTTTAACTTTCACTTTTCAAACTGAAGCTTAATTACGTTGAAATTGCATAAAATATATACTTTTTAAATTTATGTCTCAATCATAACTGCATCGAAAATGAAGAATAATTTGTGGCCAACTGTATTTCAAACACTTTTTCTAAAACTGTTTATCCTCAAATATACTTAAGCTGGTTATTTATAATGGATATATTTAAGCTGGTTATTTTTATAGTCTTTTTGAAAGCTTCAAAGAGTATGATAAATATAGTTAAAACAATTTGATATATAATAACTAAGTATAATAATAAAATTATTACGAAATTATTACAAAATAACAAAGTATCGTCGAATATTCGTTTCTTTGGCCGTGTCTAGCCGATTTGGTATTTGGTATACGGCAAAGTCACTACTCGATTTATACGGTATACGGTACACGGCAAAGTCGCTACTCATTACATTTCTAATTACAAGGACTTATTTTTACTTCTTTTTTTGAATTAATAGTTCGAAAAAACAAAGAAAATATTGTTTTGTTTATTACTGACGAGAGTTTTATTTGATCGCAAATCATTATGGTCTACACAGCATTTTGCAGTTACATTTGTAATAATAATTACCTAAGCAAGAGATAGGGCCTGTTTTATCTGAGAGGCCTCTTGTACCCTGTTTTTTCCTAAAGCAGAGTTTTTTCAAAAGTATGGCGCAAGTCTTTATATTATTTATACATTCATATTGTCAGTAAAGTTTTAAAGACCCGGGAGATCTTTGGCGGGAGGGCGTTGGCGAAACAAAACCGTTGTCGCGGTAGAGTTTCGCCAACGCCCTTATCTTATGTACCCTATTTTGTAACTATTTTTGCAAAAAAAAAAAAAAAAAAACATTTTTATCTTCTAGTCCTTCATTAATAAATACTTTAAATACAGTTAAAATATATACAACATTATAAAATCTTTATAAATTTTTTAATTGTGCAAAAACTATTTTATTTACAAATATGATTTCAAACATTTAAACATTATAAAACGTTAACCATTTCAAACAAATCAAACACTATAAAACTAAAACTTTCTATTGTATATGGAAAACTATAAAAAAAATGGTAGTAAAATCATTCAAATAAATTAATTCATAAATTAAAGATTGATTACGATAAATTAAAATATTATGATAACTCATAATATTTCTCCGTCTTCGGATCATAGTAGCAATTTAGTACCGGATCAAACAAAAGATCCAAGAATTCTTCATCTTTTCGTCCCAAAACTGAAATTATTTATAGTTTTTAAAAATACAACCAGATTAGCCAAACCAAAAATTTCAAATTTCTTAGAAAAAGATGGCCACCATTAAATTAATAAAAACAAGAAACAACCAAAATGTTTATACTTACTTGAGTTATTGTTGAGGTCCTGATTTTTGCTCCTAAACATATTTACATAATATAAATATATATATATATATATATATATATATATATATATATATATATATATATATATATATATATATATATATATATATATATATATATATATATATATATATATATATATATATATATATGAGTTTCATTCTTTTTGTCTGGAAGGTAGTAGAACTGTAGAGTACAAAAGTAGAAAATTACGGAGCAGATATAAAAAAAAGAGTAAACAAGTAAAGATGTTGAGTAAACAAGGTTTTTTGAAAAAACTTTTCAAAATTTTTATTTATTTTGAAAAAATAATCGTACATTACTGGTGATGGTGTCCATTAATTTCTGCACAACTGTTATTGTCATTTTCTTGTTTATGGTTGACCATGCCTTCAGCAATTTTTGCTAATGGTTGACCATGCCTTCATCAATTTTTATTTATGGTTGACCATGCCTTCAGCAATTCTTGTACTGAATTAATAGTCTTGCCTGTTTTACTTAAATACCCTCTTCCAATACCCCAATATTTTGTGATGGACTGAAATTGTGGGCAATTTGGTGGATTGAGCTTTTTTTGGTAAAAAATTAAACTTTCTCAAATTATACCACTCTAAAGTTTTTTTAGCGTAGTGGCACTAAGCTGTCAGGCCAAAAAAAACAAAGTCTAGTGTGTGATCGAATAAGTGGCAAAAGTTGCTTTTGAAAGGACTTTTATATATAAATTTCTGATGTCACAAAAGCTCTACTTTTTAGGTTGACTAAAGTCACATTTTATGTAAGTCTAGTCATCCATTAAAATGCAACAATTCAATTTTGTCAAAACTTGGGTGTAAAGTTTTCTTGCTTGTGTTTTGGCAAGGAAATTTGTTTGTTAACAATTTGGGTATTAAATTAATATAAAATAAAAATAATATACTAATTGTAGTATTTCTTTATTTTCCTTACCAAAAAATCAGAAAATTTGTACTTTTTATTTCTCTGTTAGACAAGCCTGGATTTCTTTCAAAAGAACAACATTATTTACCACAGATTTATTCATTTATTAACTTTTTTTTAATGTATAAAGTCTTCTTATATCATTTTATAACACTTCCAATATTAGATATAGTAATTCTAGAGCTTTTGAAACTTATCCTAGAGATAAGTTTCAAAAGCTAGATTCCAAGTAAGTATAAATAAGTTTCAAGAACTAGATTCCATGATGGATTTTCTTCATAAACGTGGAAGATTTTTTTCCAATTTTAAATGATTTTGATGACATTTTCATAAACTATAATTTCTTTTTTTTATGTCTTTTGACAACTAATATCATTACATGATTAAATTACTATTATTGTTTTTGTTTTTTTTAATGAGTCAGTAAATTATTTTGAAAGTGGTTTTATACTTTAAAAAATTTACCTTTAAAATGTCAAAAATAAATAAAAAAAGAGCAAAAATTTGCATACCTTGATTGTTCACCAACTTGAGGAGTATCTGGCATAGCAGCTGATAAATCAAGACTTTTTATTTCGTCTTGATATCGATGGTTGCACATTAGAGGGCGCTCCGCAAAAGTTGTATCATCACTATCATCAGAAAAACCATCATCAGAGTCTACTTCTTTACTATTTTGAAAAAATGATCCGAGATGTTCTTCAAGTTTTTTTCTAAGCATTTGTTTTGGAGACCAGTCTGTTTTTATAGGAAACTGAGAAGATTTATTTATAGAAGAATTTAACCATGACATTGTTTCAGATTCATATGACTCTCTAACAGGATTATATTTTGGTAATTTGTCAACTTTTCTTTGCAGCTTAGAATCTTTAAGTTCTTCATTTAGATTTCCTGGTAATATTTTTTCTAAAATTACTTGATTTTTATCTTCAACTTGATTAGTTAATTGAGCAACATTGTAAGTTTTGTTTAGTTTTTCATTTTCTTCTTCAGTTTCAAATCTACTGTTGTGTAAAACTAAATTTTCTTCACTCAAATCAAGAATACTTGAATTATTTGATATTTGGATTTTATTAACATTTATATTTTTATTTGTATTCTTTAAATCCTCTGAACTGTCGTGTTTGTTAGACATGTTAGCGTCATTAGCATTTTTATCTTCTGAGCAGACAACTTGAGTAGATAAATTATTTTCTTTTGAAAACAATATAGAGTTCTTAGAAGACTTTTGGACTGCACACTCTGCTATATTTTCTAAACAAGTCTCACTATTTTTATGACTTCTTTGTGTTAAAACAGAATGCGGTCTTGACGAATAAAGTAAATCACTGTTTGTGCTATTGCTACAACTACTATGAGTCAATGCATCATTACAATTGCTTTTTAAACACTTCTGAAGGTAGTCATCTTCAAAAATATCATCTGCTAATAACAAAGTGGAAAAAGAATGTTCTTTTGTCTGAGAAACACTTTTCTTAATATCTGGAAGTATAGTTAATGATTTGCTACGAAATTGTTTGTTTAAAGTATTTTCAGAAGATTTTAACTCATTATTAAATAATGAGACTGAATTGGATGGTGTTTTGAACTTTTGTACTGTATTTAACATACCATTTTCGGAATTACAACTAGATTCTCCTCTTGACCTACTGTCTGCACTTTTTGATAATGCAGGTAGAGGATTTTTTGTCTTTGTGGCAGCAGATAGATCAGCACTTTTGACACGTGGTCTACGAACTTTCCCAGCAACCTCCTTTGGAGGCCTAGGTTGAATAAACAACTTTGTAGAAGAAACAATATTATTAGAATCAGCCGTTTCTTTGTTATCTTCTGGAACACTAACTTTTTTTGTTTGATTTATTCCAGAACCATCAAGAGCAAAGGCTTTTAAAGGATGTTCAGTAAGACTTCCTATACTTTGATTACGTATGTTTGAGGTTTTAACTTGTCGATCTGTAAAAATTTCACCTGCAGTAGACTCACTTTGATTACGGATTCGATAACCAAATGCAAGATGAGAGTTTGATATATTGATATGTAAATTTTTTTTCACTGAACTATTTAACTTTGTGTTGCTTTCAATAAAACTGAAAGAATCAATAACCTAAACATACAATATATTACATGAAATCAATAACCAAAACATAGAATATTTTACATGGAAACAATACCCTAAGCACACAAAGTACTACATTGAATCATTACCCTAAACACAAAATATATTACAAGGAATCAATAACCTAAACATACAAAATTTTCAATGGAATTAACAACCTGAACATACTAAACAATGTATAAGATTATTAAACTATACTTAAAATAAAAAATTGATTTGGAAAAATACCTGTGTGAAAACATCAATGTCATCTGGTAAACTAATATTCTTAGGCATATCTTCAGTGCAATCTGGTCTTTCTTTTAATGTGAATAATCTTTTTAGTCTACAATTTGCTGATAAAACTATGCTATCAATAACTGAAAATCTTGATCCTTCAAATGAACTCATGACAATTTTTTCAAGATCAAAACATAAATTGCACCATGAATTAACTTTTACAAAAGAAAGCGGCAACTTTGCATAAAGTGGTGTAATAACTACCTCTCGATTATTGCTTGAAAAGATAATTCTTTTCTTACAACTTAGTTGATTGAGTATTGTGATTTCTACAGATAGAGATCTTTTACTGTAAATAAAAAGTTGAAACACCAGATATTGTTGAATTGCATGAAGACTTTGTTTGCTACTCTTTGGGAATGATATATGCGTTGTAGCTGGCTCACCTTCAATATTAATTAGGTATGATCGAATTTCATTGCAAAATTCTTTAGTTACACCTGATGATGAAACTTTTAATTTTGAAAGTGGATCTTTACCAACAACAGCAAACAATTCAACAAAAGAACCACCCTAAAAACCATTAAAAATAAAAATAAAAATTAAAAACATAAAAAACAACAATAAAAAAATGACTTTTTTTTTAAAACTTCAATATAATTCCGAAAGAGATTTCAAACAATTACTAATTACGTAAAAAGCATCATGTTTAATGCTGGTAATTAGGTAGTTATGCAACATTTATAGAATGAATAAAAAAATCTTAATGCTAGTTAGAAAAAAAGTGAAAATGAGAGATTAAGAAAACTAAATTCTTCAAGATACTTTTCAAATTTTGGTACAGGAATTTTGAATGTTGTTCAATGTTGAAATGCAAAGCAACAAGGAACAACTGCAATTAGAATACAACCCAATATTTCAGGATTAGATTATGTTGAACTTTATTTGCTTGAGCCTGGAGAAAAATTAGAAGTTTTTAATCTAAACAAATAAGTACAAATGAGCCATAAAAAAATGAACACATTTGCTACTTTGGTGGGGTTTTTTTTTATATATAACAAGGCTGCAAGCAACCACTATTAAGTTGGGAGTTACTAGGAAAAAAAAGAACAGAGTTATAGAGCAAGGAAATGGTTGACAGAAGACTTGAAAAGTTGAAGGTTGTATGAGTCAGGAAAACATAAAGATGGGAGAGAGTTCCAAAGGATTGAAGTGCAGGGAGAAAAACTAGATGAATAAAAGTTTTTAGAGCATGCAGGGACAGATACAGTTAACGAATGAGATTTAGCTGAATGACGAGTAAAACGAGAGTGAATTTTAGTTGATGGAACTAAAGATGATAACTCCTTTGAACAGTGACTATGATAGTATCTGTAGAAAAGAGAAAGAGATGCAACTTTACGACGATGGGAAAGAGGCTCAAGCTTAGCAGATAGTCCAGGTCCAACAACATTTACAATGTGTTTTTGGACCTTGTCAAGAAGAGAAAGTGAATCGTTAGAAGAACCAGCCCAAATATGACAACAGTATTCCATACAGGGACAAATAAGAGATTTGTAGAGGTAGAGAATGGAATCAGAAGTAAGGAAATGGTGAGCACGATAAAGAGAAGCAACCTTAGCAGAAGCTAATTTAGCAATCAATTGTATATATGGTTTCCATGAAAGGTCAATAGTAAGCGATAATCCAAGAAGACGTAAAGAGGAGGACTCAGTAAGAGGATTGCCATTCATTAATATAGGAATGTTGACCATATTACGGTAGTTGTTTGCATTAAACAACTGGGTTTTGTTAGAGTTGAAATTCACAAGCCACTGTGAACCCCAATCTATTACTGAAGTGAGATCGGATTCAAGATCAGCTGCTTGTTCTAGGCGATCGAAAAGAAAAGACTTTTTGTCAAGACAGGAGTATAAAGTTGAGTCATCAGCAAAAAGAGCTACTTTAGATGAAAGGTTGTCAGGAAGATCGTTTATGTAGATAAGAAACAAAACAGTGCCCAGGATGGAACCTTGGGGAACCCCAGAAGTTAATGGAAATAAAGAAGAGTGTTGGCCTTCAAGGATGACTTTAATAAACCGGTTAGAAAGAAATGATTTGATAATCTCAAAAACTTTCCCAGAAACACCATATGAAGCAAGCATATGGAGAAGACCAGCATGCCAAACTTTGTCGAAAGCTTTAGATATGTCGAGAGCAATAGCCCTAGCCTCACCGCCTCCATCTAATGCACGATAAAATCTTTCAGTTACAGCAGTTAGCAAGTTAGTGCTATTTAGATTCTAATAGTTACCTTTTTGATGCATTTTAACAATTTTTAAATTTTTTTGTATATTGTAGGTCTATTTAGTCTTTTAACTAAAAGTCACAGATGAGAATTGAATGATATTTGACCATATTAATTATGTAGATTTTAATTGGATCATTTCTGATTATTAGATCAGAACCCTTTATAACTACAACCCTTTATAACAAGATGTTGTTATAAAGGGTTCTAGAACTGTACTAAATGATTTGCATTGAGAATATCTAAATATTCTATTCCAGATTGACATAAACAACTTGACAATTAATATCACAGTAATTGAAATCATCTGTTATGAAAAGACTTGAAAAAAGTATTGTGGTTTAAATAGATGGGTAGTGGTTCTTATGGAATTATTATTTCCAATGTTTACTTGGTGAATTGAGTGCAAGGGTCTGTAAAAACAACCAAAAAGGATATTTTCTGCTTTAAGTTCGATTTCACAACATTTAGATTAAAATGTAGTGTTATTTTTTCAATAATATACATTTGTTCAAAATGTGGTATAGTGGTAGAGCGCTCACTTCATAAGCAAGAAGTTCCAAGTTTGATCCCCACCATATCTCTGATAGTGTCACGCTCAACTTGTTTGTCAAGGTTTGTGTTTCCGAGATTTAAAGAGTTGAGACCACAAAAAAAAAAGTTAACTGTAAATAACTGTAGTGGTCCTCTTAGCCTTGGGGAGGTGAATAAAATATAGAAATGTATTTCTTGTGATTCTTTTATTATGTAAATCTTTTCTTATGTAAATCATTACACCTCCAACCTTTTTACCAATTTAATTTTGTTGTAACGAGTGTAGTAAAAACTTCTCATCAAACCAGAATTCAGTTATACCTATAATATGTGATTGGTTTTCTTTAGTTAACATCAATTGAAATTTGTTCCATTTATTGTTTAGTGAGATTGCATCAAGATTGAATAAGTGTTTAGAAGCTGATGAAAATGATTAACAATGATTTAAAATTTATTCTAGATTAAGTTACTCTGAAATAAAATGTAAATTGTAATGTAGGCTGCTAAAACCAGAATTAGTTACACAAACTCTAGCTTGGGTAGCTAATTTTGGTTTTGGCAGCCTTTGTCTGGTTTAATAATAATAAAAACTTAGGTTTAATAATAACTAATACTATCAAGTTAGGTATTCTGGTTGTTTTGGCCATGGTGCAATTTCCTTGATGATAGTTTTAATAGCCAAGTTTATCTTGCCTATTCACCAAACTACAACAACTCATATGCTCAGCTTATAGAAAAACATCTCTTTGCAACCTGCTCCCTCTGCAAAAGATCAGTTCTCCACATAGCAATGTCATTTTTTTATATTATTTTTTTGACTGCATTCAATACTTGTGACATGTTATCAAAAAAATGAAAACCATTAAAAACCATATAAATACTCAATATGTGCGCATCAGAACCTGGATTTCATCGAGACTTGTTTTATAAGATATAGTAGTGTGTGAGACTATACTGTTAACTAAACAATGAGTTTACAGTATAGTTTTGCATGCTAATTTTGCGAGTTGCACTGCCTAGTTTTACTTCTTGCTCAAAGTTGATTTATCTTCATATAAATTCATACAAAAGGTATCGGAAAACTACTTTAAAAATACTATTGACAAACACCTTTGATAAACAACAGCTTTATAAATTTAACAAATACAGGACAAAAACTTAATTAAGTGTATTAAAAATTGAACTTCCAACCAGATTTTTTCTTTCAAAAAAAATCTGGTTAATTAAAGGTTTTATCTTTAACATCAATAAAAATAAGTATTGTTGTTAAAGTTAAACTATATTTTATTGTTTGGAGTTTCTTTTTTTCCATATGTCAGGTATAACTAAAAAAAAAAAAAATAGAATTTCAATGATAACTTGCTAATATTATTAGAATTTTTTTAAACTATAAAAAGTTTAATCTCTCCATTAAACTCCATTAGTTTAATGGAGAGATTAAATACGGCTTCGAAAAACAAGTTGCTCTAATAAAATCTAAAAACCAAAAAAAATATTTTTTGGTAATACTAAAATACAAAAATAAATTTGGCTGTAAAAATAAAATTTTTTAATAAAATTCTTTAAGAAAAGTAAGAGTGAAGTTTAGTTAGACTTTTCATTTTGTCAAAAATCTGAGAACTGAAACACTTCATAAACTAAAATGCAGCGAAAAATTTTTTATTATAACCGCAAATTAATAAAGGGGAAAACCTAAGCTTGCCCATGAATAAAATTAAAAAAAACAACCTATTCATTAAGTTATTTTTAGAGAGAAAACTAAACATAATCGTAAACCTAATATTAGAGCAAAGTTACAAAACAGCTAAAAAAAAATTTATTAACAATCTCGATAAATAATTGGTTTAGGTAAGTTTAATTAACTCTAAAATTATTTTCTAATGTTTATTTAAGATATGAACACAGCTTGTCTTGACACTTGGAGACCCCTTTAATGAGATATCAAAGTTGAGGGGCAAAAAATTTATAGAACTTTTTCCAATAAATAATAAAATAATAATAGCAATAAATAAAAATAAATAATAACGAACTTTACTTCTAAACCCACATTCAAAATTGCTTCAGATCAAGAACATGAGAAATAAGAATGAAGCTAAACGCAGCCTGTGTTGAATCATTAGTAAGCATATATATATATATATATATATATATATATATATATATATATATATATATATATATATATATATATATACAGTAAAATCCCATTAACTCGGACTCTGAAGGGATAGATATTTATTGTCCATATTAGCAAATGTCTGATTTAAGCAAAACTCTCGCTAAGTCTGACTTTTTGAAAATGTCCGACTTATCGAATGTTCCTCGATATATAAATTTTATGTACATATATATAGAACAATATAATCTTATGTGAAATATATATTTTTGCATATATAATATATACTATAAACAAAAAAAGTCAGAAATTTATGTTTGTATCAGTGACTCGCACAATTCTTTTTCAAACAGCTTTGAAGCATTCAAACCTACTCTTCTAATTTCATCACTCTAAGTAAACATCGAAAAATTAACAAGGGTATAAATTGCTTTATGAACTTCTTCAGTTGTTGACTTTGTCACCATTTCATCAGACATTTTGTTTCCTTCTTCTTCTTGCGTTTCTTCTTCATCTACCTCAACAATATCTTGAATAATATCTTCATTTGTCATCATTCCTCTCATAACCGAAATGTCATCTATGCGGTAGTGGTGTAGTGGTAGAGCGCTCGCTTCATAAACAAGTGGTTCCGAGTTCGATCCCCACCACGTCCCTGGTAGTACCGCGCTCAACTCGTTTCTCTGCGCAGCGGCCTTGTTCGTCAAGGTTCGTGTTTCGGAGTTATAGAGTTGAGAGAGGGTTATAGCCACAAAATAAGTAGCCTCCTCGTCTGTAGTGGCCTTCTCAGCCTTGAGGAGGTGAAGTAAAATAAAAAAATTAAAAAAAAAAAATTGTTAACATATCTTCATAAGTAAAATCTTCTGGAACAAGATCCTTATCACGCTGACATAACTGATCAATTGAATATCTTAATGCAGGGAAGTATTCTTCATCTTTGTCTGATACTCCTACTCCTTCCTTAAACCCTGCTTTGTGGAAGCAATTAATAATAGAAGTTTCTGAAATTTCATTCCAAGAATAAACAAGCATTTTCATAGCTTCAAGTATGGAGATTGAAGGCATTTGTTTTCCGTTATCAATTGCATTTATGATCTTGTTAGTTAAATTAATTCGGCACTTACACTTCAACGATCGAATGACTCCTTGATCCATCGGCTGCAAACATGAAGTTGTGTTTGGGGGAAAAAAGTAGAGTGTGACTACGTTTTTTTTTTTAAGATTCTCAATATTCGGATGGGCAGCGCAATTATCAATAACCAATGCTACCTTATGGCCTTCTAATGCAAATTTTCTGTCGTTTTCCCTAACCCACTCTTCAAATAATTCAGAGGTCATCCAACTCTTTTTTTACGCACGGTAACGACATTCAGTGCTTCTAATTCCTTCAAAGCAACGGGGTTTGTTTGATTTCCTAATAACAAACATTGGAAGTTTTTCTGCACTCATGTTAGCTGCAGCAAGCCCAGTTAGTCGTATCTTGCAATTCTTACCTCCATTTAATTTCTCACCTTTCAAATGTATACTTTTTTTTGGAAGTACTTTATAAAACAAACTGAACTCATCTGCATTGAATATATCATGGGAGTTATAACAAGACAATATTGTCAGCAAAGTTGTTTCCCTCCAAGGAGCGGTCATTTCATTAGTAACATCTTGACTTTCATCTATGAAATATAAGAAAAGCAACTTTAAAGCAACTTTTTTTACACTTTATCCCCTTATTGTTTTTCATGCAGTGCATGGTAATAAGCCAAAATGTTTTAATGACTTTAAACAAATTAAAACAAAAGAATTGGTTTGATAATTTATTGGTTTATGGAATGAATGATGGAATAGAAATGAGAGTTCTATGCTTATTATTATTTTTTAGACAAATGACTAAAAAAAATTTAAATATCATTGAAAAAATAAAATGATAAAATACCTGATATTGTTTTAAACAATACATTGTTTCCTTTTTTCCATCTATTTACCCATCTATCGGATGCTTGAAAGTTGTCACAACCAAGTTCTTTTGCAAAATACAAAGCTTTGACTTTGAAAATGGTTCCAAACACAGGAATGTTTTGGTGTCGGGTGTTTAAAAGCCACATATAACATCCTTTATCCAAATTCTCATTTAGGGAGACTATCATCCGTACTCTTTTCGCAGAAGTTTTATTTTTTTCGACTTAAGAATATATTTTCTTTTTTTATTGTGACCATACAGACAATGTTTGCTTTGGAATGTCATATTTCTTTGATATAGATACAGACGATTCTCCTTTGTCAAGTTCTTTTAGTATTTTGTATTTTTCTGTTAAAGTTCTACTTGATAGCTTCTTTTTAGCAACCTTAGACATTTTTAATAAATAAAACTTGATCGAAGTATAACCAAATCAAAGATATCAGTGAAAATGTTTAGTTCGTTAAATTATGTTTGACGCAAAATTAATTAATTTTCGAACGTTCTAAGTTTAAAATTTTAATTTTATTTATTAAATTAAAAGTATTTTTATATTTTTAATGTAGTAGTTTTTAAGCAAGTGTTTTACCATTACACCACTACCGCATATATATATATATATATATATATATATATATATATATATATATATATATATATATATACATATATATATATATATATATATATATATAAATATATATATATATATATATATATATATATATATATATATATATATATATATAAACCCTGATAATATATATATATATATATATATATATATATATATATATATATATATATATATATATATATATATATATATATATATATATATATATATATGTATATATACATATATATATATATATATATATATATATATATATATATATATATATATATATATATGTATATATACATATATATATATATATATATATATATATATATATATATATATATATATATATATATATATATATATATATATATATATATATAAACCCTGATAATATCCTAATCCTACTTAACACATATGTATAGAATTTAAAGTAAATTTCAAAATTTATAATACAATGAATAATTATAAATATTAGATTATATACAGAATTAAAAAAAATTAAAAATATTAACCTGATAATCATTTTTAAACATATTTCTTTCCAAACGTTTTAGACATGGTAAATTTTCTAAAATAATATTGTTTATTTAAAAAATAAATACTATAAAAAATATTATATATCATAAAACTAGAATGATACTGAATTAAATATTAAAAACTGATAACAAATTAGTTAATATAATCTTTGTCAACTTTTTTTCTCATAATCTTCTGATAATTCTTAAATGTCTTCTTTGTGATGATGATCATAATTTCAGAAACAGATTACTTTAATACACATAGGAATTAATATGAACTTTAGACTGGCTTTTTTACTTAATCACTACACAAATTATGTTTACACATTAGCATTAATGTTTTTTTTCCATTATTAAATGCCTCTCATTGCTGTTATCAGATTTTTTACTTTGTGATCTGTTTTTTGTTTTACAAGTTTTTGTCTGGTGATTATATCTTCGTTCATATTGGTGTTTATAAAACAATTTTTTTTATTTTTTTTTATTTTTTTATTTATTTTTTTATTTATTTATTTTTTAATTTATTTTTATTGTTATTATTGTTGTGGGTGTATAGCCTGTCTTATTTATTTTTAAATATTCCTCTAATTAATCTTTATTTTTATCTTGACAATTGTCAAAATATGCTTTGTCTAATAAATAATTCTCCTTTATTCTAATGTACTTTATTTCTTCCCTCAGGCGTTCACTACTCGTGTGTGACCATTCGGCGAATTTTATATGCCGAAGTTTTTAAATAATATGAACTTTAGACTGGCTTTTTAATTTTTATATGGACATAACTTCCACAAATTTTTACAATTCAAGACATCCAAGAAAATTATCGTCATTTTTCAAAACACTATTTGACTTCAAACAAGATTGCCAATTTTAAAACTATTTAGTGATGCCAAGAAAGATTTCACCATTTTTAAAAAACCCTTAGCAACGTCCAAGAAGGTTAACACCATTAACACACCTAATTTCCAATTTCCCCCCAAAAATAAAATGTTTTTACTATACTTAAAAGACAGTGCTCAATTATTTTTGGCAACAAGTTGTTGGATGTTAACTACCAAATAAAAAAGTGATTATAAAAGGGATTGATGGAGAGAGTGGATTTTTAAAGGTATGAATATATTGAATAGACAAAAAGAACAAACAAAACAGTTTTCTTATTTAAAAGATGCATATTCTCAGACCTTTTATGACTCAGATGTGAAAAACTGATAATCTTAGCAATTTTTGGGTTTATAAAAAAAAGCAGATTAGAATTAAAAGAAATTTTTGAATAAATTTGTTTTAAAAGTGTTTCTTTCACAAAAGAAACAAACATTTTATTGTAATAAAGTTTTTGCTGTAAATGAAAAATGTTATATATAGATTATAATTATAAATGTTACATTATAAATTATAAATGTTATATTATAGTTTATATTAAAGATTAGTTTAACTAAATGACCTTGCAATTTAAAATTTGAATCGCTTAATATTAATTCATCATCATTTAAATCTTAAATGATTATTAAAAATTTTTCAAAACAATTTTATGCAGACACTTGAATAATGAACTTGATGTATTGCTATCCAATAGACATAACTGTTGTGTAGTAATAATTTATTTTTTAAATTAACAATATTAAATGATTTTTCAGTATTATTAAATTTAATTCATTCTTGAAATCTTGATTAAACTATATTAAACTTTATATAAAATTATAAAAAATTATTTATAAATTATAAAACGAGATAATAGTAAAAAATTTTACGAGATAATAGTAAAAAATGCTAATTACATTTATAATGTCATATATAAATTATAAAAATACAAGAAAAAAAAACTACCAAAAAAATACTAATTAAAATGTTATTTCAAGTTTAGTTGTCCTTAAAATTAAACATTTTTTTAATATCAAAAGCTTTAAATAACTTTTGTTAATGGTTATTAAGAATCAAGCAAAAATGTTAGTTTTTTTATGTGTCATTTAGCTTTATAGTAACTTAAATGTCATGAAAGATTTTTTTTTTTTAATATAAAAAGATATTTATTACTTACCGATATAAATAGATGTACCCAAACACTTAAAAATATGTTTGGATTTTTGTCCCTTTCGGTCTAAACAAAACTTTATCACCCACCAGCATAAACTGATAAAATGTTAGTAATCATCAAAATGAATTTTATTTATACCCTTTAAAACAAAATATATATATTTTTTTAATTTAAAATGAAAAGACAAATTTAAAATGTTACTACACCAAATATAAAATAATTTTACACATTACTAAATTAATAATACATAGTATTATTATGTTTTTATATAGTAAAATGTTAAAGCACTAAAAGATAAGCTATATTATTTTTAATTTAATAGCAACCACAGCATATGTTTCTTAAAAAATAGTTATTTATAATAACTATTGATATAAATACATAAGTATGATATAAATAAATATTGGTAATAATATATTTATTTTGTGTTATGAATGTTGTCTGGACAAAAATCACTAAGAGTAATCTCGGTTAATTGAAAAGTCGATTCTAAATAACGGAGATTTGACTTCAAACTAAAGTGTCGGCCGGCACCAATCTTATGATTGACGGTTTTAGCATTTTAACATAGTTACAAAAGGTTGAGCTTTTTTGGTAAAAAAAGTAAAAAACGGTAAATGCACGAAAAACTTCGATGTACCATACTGTAACATTAGGGCTGTTCATTATGCTAATTTGTTTTCAGAACATAGCTAATTGAAGTTTTTCCTATTCAACTATCATATTGTGGTTCAAAAATATTTTTTACTAAATTTTATTATTTGCCCTGAAGGTCGCTGAAAGCCCCTAAATATTTGACAGGTCCCTAACATTATTGAAAAAAAAATTATTTAAAAATATGTCAACTTGGTACTCAAAAGAAGCAAAATCATTTAAAAATTTCAAAAACAAAAAGTATTTTTTATAAAAAAAACAATATTATGCTTTTTTGAATAAAAACTATGGTTTTTAAACGAAAAATGAAAAAAAGGTAATATTCACAACATTTTTAATAATAAGTTTTTTTAAGTTGTTTTTTATAAAAAATGAATCTAATTTTTAAAAATATATAAAATTTTGCTTCTTTTGAGTACCAAGTTGACATATTTTTAAATAATTTTTTTTTTCAATAATATTAGGGACCTGTCAAATGTTTAGGGGCTTTGAGCGACCTTCAGGGCAAATATATAAAATTTAGTAAAAAATATTTTTGAACCACAATATGGTAGTTGAATGGGAAAAACTTCAATTAGCTATGTTCTGAAAACAAATTAGCATACTGAACAGCCCTACTGTAACATACTTACACAATGTTACATTAATAGTATTTTTTCTTTTTCGAGCATTTATTGTTTTTACCGTTTTGACGGAAAAACCCTTGTAAGGCTGTTTAGCCGTTTTTCATTGTTTAATATCGCAACGAAAAAATAATATCGATAAAGTGGTCTTTTCTTGTTGCTCGTTGCTTTAATTGAAGTGAAGTTTTACAGTAACTTTTACTTTTACAGTAACCTTTCTGTTATTAGCAAGGTCTTTGAGTCTTTGATCAACAAATTCCTCACATCTCATCTTGAGTCAAATAAACTACTGTCAGACAATCAATACGGTTTTCGATCCTCTCGCTCTACGGCCGACTTGCTAACTGCTGTAACTGAAAGATTTTATCGTGCATTAGATGGAGGCGGTGAGGCTAGGGCTATTGCTCTCGACATATCTAAAGCTTTCGACTAAGTTTGGCATGCTGGTCTTCTCCATAAGCTTGCTTCATATGGTGTTTCTGGGAAAGTTTTTGAGATTATCAAATCATTTCTTTCTAACCGGTTTATTAAAGTCATCCTTGAAGGCCAACACTCTTCTTTATTTCCAGTAACTTCTGGGGTTCCCCAAGGTTCCATCCTGGGCCCTGTTTTGATTCTTATCTACATAAACAATCTTCCTGACAACCTTTCATCTAAAGTAGCTCTTTTTGCTGATGACTCAACTTTATCCTCCTGTCTTGACAAAAAGTCTTTTCTTTTCGATCGCCTAGAACAAGCAGCTGATCTTGAATCTGATCTCACTACAGTAATAGATTGGGGTTCACAGTGGCTTGTGAATTTCAACTCTAAAAAAACCCAATTCCTTACTGCAAACAACTACCGTAATATGGTCAACATTCCTATATTAATGAATGGCAATCCTCTTACTGAGTCCTCCTCTTTACGTCTTCTTGGATTATCGCTTACTACTGACCTTTCATGGAAACCATATATACAATCGATTGCTAAATTAGCTTCTGCTAAGGTTGCTTCTCTTTATCGTGCTCGCCATTTCCTTACTTCTGATTCCATTCTCTACCTCTACAAATCTCTTATTCGTCCCTGTATGGAATACTGTTGTCATATTTGGGCTGGTTCTTCTAACGATTCACTTTCTCTTCTTGACAAGGTCCAAAAATGCATTGTAAATGTTGTTGGACCTGGACTATCTGCTAAGCTTGAACCTCTTTCCCATCGTCGTAAAGTTGCATCTCTTTCTCTTTTCTACAGATACTATCATGGTCACTTCTCAAAGGAGTTATCATCTCTAGTTCCATCAACTAAAATTCATTCTCGTTTTACTCGTCATTCAGCTAAGTCTCATTTGTTTACTGTATCTGTCCCTGCATGCTCTAAAAACTTTTATTCATCTAGTTTTTTTCCCCGCACTTCAATCCTTTGGAACTCTCTCCCATCTTTATGTTTTCCTGACTCATACAACCTTCAACTTTTCAACTCTTCTGTCAACCGTTTCCTTGCTCTATAACTCTGTTCTTTTTTTTTTTCCTAGTAACTCCCAACTTAATAGTGGTTGCTTGCAGCCTTGTTGGGAGTGAATGCAAATAAAAAAAAAAAAAAAAAAAACTAAAGTTTTAAAAAACATTTAGTATTGTGATATTATAGTAGAAAGTATAAATCTTTTAAGATTAAACTTTTCTATATTTTATAATTTATTAAATAAAATGAGAGCGCTACGGCATAAAAAATCATTGTGTATTCTTTCCCGACGGACATTTGTTTTTAAAAGTTACGTCTTAAATGTCTTCTAAACGTTTTTTAAACGTCTTTTAAACGTTCTTTACGTAAGAAGGTTTAGAAGAAGTTTAAAAGACATTTAAAATACATTTAGAGCATAACTTTTAAAAACAAATGCCTGCTGGGTTTCTAAGGTTCTGTTTTTTAAAGAACCACAAAAGATAGTGCTTAACATTCAAGAAAGGTGATTAAACAAAGTTACCACAGCAACTGCCCCTAGTAAGCCATTTTCCCCTTTTTTTAAACAACCAGAGTTATATTGGGAACATGCATTAAAAATTAGTGTTTTTTTAATAAAAATCAACCGTTTATTTTATAAAGACTATTAGACTTAGATCATTCAAAATGCTGTCCATTGGTAATTGCAACCTTCTTCTATCTTTAAGGTAGAAAAAGTAATGATCTCTTAAGGCAATCCAATCATCAACCCTTTTTTAGTATTGTCATAAGACGAAAATCTTTGCGCAGCCAGGCCATGTGTCATCTGTTAAACCAGAAAAAACAGTAACCGGAGGGGGCAATGTCTGGTCAAAACGGTGATTGGGTTAGGACTTCTCATATGAGGTTTTTACAGGTAGTTTTTTACAAAATTTGCAACATGGGATTGTGCGTTGTTGTGCTGAAGACTAACCTTGTTATGTCTTTCAGTGTATTGCGGTCTTTTATCCTTCAATGCTTGGCTCGGTTGAGATTGTTGTTGGCAACGGTATAATGTAGTCTTCTCTTTTGGTTTAAGCAGCTCATAATATATTAATCCGAGTTGGTTCGATCAGATTGGAACCATGAATATTTGCTTTCACTGTCGATGCTGATGGCTTGTCGGGCTCGACTCTTGCTTTTTGGTATTTAGGCTTGTCGTAATGTATCTACTTTTTATCACCAGTAGCAGTTCGATGCTGAAAACCTTTTTCTTTTTTTGTCGCGCAAGCAGCTTTTTTCAAGAAATAAAACTTTTCCAATGCTTTGAGGTAAAAATTATTTCAGCCCGATGGGATATATACCTAGAGAATTATGAATCTCAATACAAAACGCTCATTTTTATTGCATACTCCATTTAATGCATATAGTATAACGCCGTAGTTTGATATATAATACGCCAGTCTATATATATATAACACGCCAAATATACAGTTTTTCACTGGGATGGTAAAACCTTTACAAATAATGAAGAAAAACTTCAGACAAACTTGTTAATATTTTTTATGGGAACATCCTAGATTGTCAACACAGAATGACTTACAAACAAATATTATATTCTCTTTTACAACTGTGCACTATAGCATCTGTGACTCAATTTAGTTTGAATATGTTTAGTGCATAATTATAATTTATAAGAAATAAAAATTGTTATTTATTTTGTTTTTAAAAGTTATTAATTTATGCCATAAAATTGGGTCTTAGAAACCATAGTACAAAGGAATGTTGAAAAAACAATTGTTAGTGCGTGCTGGAGTACAATAGCAACCAACACTGGATTCATTCAAAGCACTGCAATTGCCAAAGAAACGTACCTCAATAGAAAAATAATCTATCTTGCTTGCAGGCAACATTTTCATGACATCATGATCAAGTATGGGGGTTTTGTTGAGGAAAAAACAGGGCAACTTATGGCAAATAATATGGGATAAATATGACAAGACAAGCAGAAGAGCTGTTGTTTATTTAAGGTTCAAGACCAATGGTTGACAATGAAGTCTCAATAAGGCAAAGCAACATAGTGAGCAACAAAGTGACTACTTTGAGCTTTGCAAATTAACAGCAATTTCACTTGGAGAAAAGCCACAGGATGGATTTGTTGTCAAAGAGATAGGTGAAAGATCTTTGAAAGGATATCTAATACCTTTATAGAAAAATTATACCATTGCGCATTAGGTAAAAAGTAACATTTTCTAACCAAAACCCTTAAAAATATTTTAACTATTTATTTTTTTATTGCAAACGGTTTATTATACTGAAAAACAAAATATGCAAAAAAAAGTTATAATAAATATAATAAATAATAAACAAAAAAACAATAATATATTTTAAAGTTTATTTTATTGAAAAAAAATAAAACATAATAAATTAACATTTATTGCAATATAAATTCATTAATTTGCAAAAACATTTATAACAAAGATGTCACT